GTCATAGTACAACATGTTTTTAAAGATCAATTTGTAAAATCAAAGCTCAAGGGTGAGTCAATTGAGCACCATTTCAAAGAAGTTTTCATGAATTATGTAAAAACATAACATGCATGAACCCTTATGGACTCTAGTGCTCTAAAACATGATCAAATGCAAGATTAAGCTCAAGAACAAAGTGAATTCATCGACTTCAACTGAGATATACGCATGCATGGAAGAAATTCATGCAAAACAACCTCAAAATGCAAGAATATGTACATGCATGCATAAATAAGCTCACTATTCAACCCTTCAATTTAATTCTTGACTCAAATCACTAATTTCACCATGGACCATGCAAGAACAGCTTAATTTCACAAGTAAGAAGATGAATTCTCTACCTTATGTCTTGAATTCTAGATGTAGAGGCTCGAATATGCAAATACCCCTCAATTCTTCTAAGTCTCCAAGCTAAATTTTCTTGTTGAACTCAATTTCTCTCACTCACCCTCTCTCTCTCGGTTTTGGTCTCTAAAGGAAATGAAGATGACGTATCAAAAATGTATAAGGCATAATAAGGGTGGGTTTTTGAGTCAATCCACTCAAAGGCAATTTCGTAATAACTCAATCCAATGTAAATTATCATTGTTTAATCTAATTAATCATTCCAAATCGGATTTTAATTAAATCTACCATAAAATCACATAAATTCTGATTAGCATAAAATACCAATCAATTTATGATTCAGTCGCCGATAGGACCTTCAGTTCGCAATTCAAAGATGAAACATGAACAGATCATTTAATGACTAATAGATAGAAATGCATTTAAAACAGTATACTCATGCAATCAGTTCAGAATTTCAGTATGATCCATTACTTATCATGTTTAATTAGAGATTAGCACTAATCAGAGGTGAGGGTTGTCATAATTGTGGAGGAGGTTGTTTCTTTTGCGGCGAACTACGTATCAGAGTATAATCAAGCTCAACAATGCAGCCAATTTCCTGTGGCTCCGGTACGGTTGCGAAGGTGGGTTGTGCCAAGTGAGGGTATCTTTAAACTGAATTTTGATGGCTCCGTTAGAAAGGCCCAAGCCGTTGCTGGTATCGGGATTATTATTCGGGACTGTCATGGGGCAGTCATTGCTTCTATGGTTGAGCGAATCCCTTATTTGGAGGATGTTGATTGTGTGGAAGCTTTGGGTGTTGTCAAAGCTCTTCAATTGGGATGTGATTTGGGTTTGGGTCATATTCATCTTGAAGGCGATTCTCAAAATGTGGTGTCTGCAATCCAAGGCAATGAGGATAATTTATCTTGCTATGGTCATTTAGTGGGTGTAGCTCAGGCGCTACTTTTGCGTTTCCATTCTTCATCAGTTTCTCATGTTTATAGAGATGGCAATTCGGTGGCTCATTGTTTAAGTAGACTAGCCTTTGATTTTGTTTCACCATGAGTTTGGATGGAAGAGGTTCCTCCCTCTTTAATGGCTAACAGATCATTTAATGACTAACAGATATAAATGCATTTAAAACAGTATACTCATGCAATCAGTTCAGAATTTCAGTATGATCCATTACTTATCATGTTTAATCAAAGATTAGCACTAATCAGAGGTGAGGGTTATCACAATTGTGGAGGAGGTTGTTTCTTTGGCGGCGAACTACGTATCAGAGTATGATCAAGCTCAACAGTGCAGCCAATTTCCTGCGGCTCCGGTGCGGTTGCGAAGGTGGGTTGTGCCAAGTGAGGGTGTCTTTAAACTGAATTTTGATGGCTCCGTTAGAAAGGCCCAAGCCGTTGCTGGTATCGGGATTATTATTCGGGACTGCCATGGGGCAGTCATTGCTTCTATGGTTGAGCGAATCCCTTATTTGGAGGATGTTGATTGTGTGGAAGCTTTGGGTGTTGTCAAAGCTCTTCAATTGGGATGTGATTTGGGTTTGGGTCATATTCATCTTGAAGGTGATTCTCAAAATGTGGTGTCTGCAATCCAAGGCAATGAGGATAATTTATCTTGCTATGGTCATTTAGTGGGTGTGGCTCAGGCGCTACTTTTGCGTTTCCATTCTTCATCAGTTTCGCATGTTTATAGAGATGGCAATTCGGTGACTCATTGTTTAAGTAGGCTAGCATTTGATTTTGTTTCACCACGAGTTTGGATGGAAGAGGTTCCTCCCTCTTTAATGGTGTTGGTGGTGACTAAGACCCCTTCTTCTTTGTAATTGCTTTTCCTATCTTAAAAAAAAAAAGGTTTGCCATGTCAAAATTGAAAAACTATTAATTTATTAGAACTTGAGCGTGAACTCATAGATGGGCCTCAATTAAAATTTCATCTTAACCATCAAATTACATTGGGCCGGCCTGGGATCAACTAACCTTTTTAATAAACTTTACTTATCACAAAACATAACAAAGCATTACCAATTTTTATAAATAGTCATTAGGATACTTTTCTGCTGTATTTGGTTAGAGAATTTGCAAAGGATTTAGAAAGGAAAATGACAAAGGTGTGTGAAACTAGATGAAATATAAACATCTTTTATTCACATTTCACCTACTTTTTCCATTTTTCTTTTTAAATCCCTCCCCAAATCCTCTAACCAAACATAGCATTAAGGACACGCACTGATAAATTTATAATAATTACACTATAACTTTAAAATTTTATTATTCAATATTTTTAGAATACTCATTAATAAAATTATATATATATATATATATATTCTTTTTACATATTTGTCATTTATTTTGATAATGATACAATTTTAAAACATGTTTAGATGTGTTTTGTTTTTATGGAATGGTAATTTGTGACTAAGAATGATACTCATAATTATATCAAAGTGATAAATGATTAATATATTTTGACAAATGTTTGTGAATTATGATTTGAGTTAGTTTCTATTCAAATATGATGTAAGAAGTGTAGATAGTTGAATTGTTTTTTTATTTTTTAAATACTTTTACAATAATAAATTTATTACTGAAAGTTAAAGTATAACTTTTTGATAAATAAGTCAAGTTTACAGTACTAACTCACACTACTAAAAATTGAGACTTTTGCGACGGTCTTAAACATAGCAAAAGATTCGCATATTGTCGTAAAAGACTTTTTGCGACGGAGTAATGACGGGAAATAGGAGGCGGCGGAAGAGGGCGTGGCAAAAAGTATTTGCGACAGTTACAAACCGTCGCTTTCTTGTAGCGATAACTAATCAATGGTTTTTGTGATGGTTTAGCCTGACACAAAAACAGGGGAAAAAAACTTTACTTTTAGTGACGATGTTGATTGTCGTTGCCAAAAACTTTTTTAGCGACGGTATTTGATGCCGCAAAAAGTATTATTAGCAATGGTCTAAAACATTGCAAAAAAAGTAAGTTAATACCATATTTGCGATAGTTTAAACCGTCGCTAAAGGTTTAAACTAATATGTATATGCGACAGGGTTAACCCGTCGCTAATAAAATGTAAAGAAATGATAATTACATTAGCGACAGTTTACTATTGTCGCAATAAAATTATTTTCATAAAATCAATACATATATTATTAATTCATTCCTTATACAAATTATTAACATTTTCTAAAATAAAATATATCTACAACCACACACATCCACATCCATATTCACATTCACAAAATCATACGAGGGAAAATATATATACCCTGTAACAATTGTCAACCAAATATTCTTTACAAAAATATATAAAACATCCTCCAACAATATTAATTTTTGATATTCAAGAACTCAAATTTTTGTATCTAAAATAAAACAAAAATATCGACTATACAAATAAAAAATATATATATTATAGCTTGTTTTAATATCAACCATAAGCTCCAATATTGATATGCAAATATATCACCACGTATTCAAAAAGGGTTGCATCCACAAAAAGAAATCCAAAAAAAAAATCATCATTTACAATATCATTAATTTCAAACTTACAACAAATGCAAAATATTTGATATTTATTTCAATAAATAAATAAGATTGTAAGCTACAATACCGATATGTGAAGATATCATCACGTACTCAAAAGGGTTGCATCTGCAAAAAGAAACCAAAAAAAAATATATCATATACAATATAATTAATTTCAAGCTTACAGAAAATGTAAAATATTTGATATTTATTTCAATAAATAAATAAATACATAAATAAGATTATAAACTCCAATATCGATATACAAAAATATCATCACGTACTCAAAAGGGTTGCATCTGCAAAAAAAAAAAAAAAAAAAAAAAGTCATTTACAATATAATTAATTTCAAGCTTACAGAAAATGTAAATATTTTATATTTGTTTTAATAAATAAATAAGATTGTAAGCTCCAACATCGATATGTCAAGATATCATCACATACTCAAAAGGATTACATCTGCAAAAAGAAATCAAAAAAAAAATAATAGTAATCATTTACAATATAATTAATTTCAAGCTTACAAAAAAAATAAAACATTTGATATTTATTTCAATAAATAAATAAATACAAAAATAAGATTGTAACATATATATAAATCAAGTGCCAAACAATGATACTTTACAAAACAACACAGTATAGGGCCCATACTATTGTGAGTGTTCTGTAATCCATTCTATGGTTTGTTTGTGTATGTAGAACTACTGTTATAAAATTAGTTCACAAGGCACATGGGTCAAACCTTTGGATGTGATCGAGAGTGAGAAGCCTTGGTCCAAGAGGGATTTGGACATCTCTAAGGTCATGTTTGATTCACAAGATTAATAGTGAAGTATTAATAATCCTATTAAATTAGTGTGGTATTCACTATCCAATTGGATTAATATCCATTGGATTAATAATCTCACCCCTACCTTATTACTAATAATCCTACAAATTTGTTGGATTAATTATCCATTGGATTAATAATCCTAAACCAAAATGTTAAAACAAACATAGAATAATTGGGCCCACGGATTAATAATCCCAATCCCATGCTCTAATCCACCCAATCAAACATGCCCTAAGAGCACTGAAACATATCACTGTGGAAAATACCATCAAAATATAAATACAGTTAAAATGAAAGTGTCAGGGATGGGTGAATTTTAACTACTTGCCTATCGGTGAGCAAAGGCAAAGTGGTGTCGGTTAACAAGCCTTTCTTGAAATTCTTCTCATAATTCTGGAGGCCAACGTTGGTTAACATGCTTCTCGTTTTCACATAGAGCACATCTTTAACTGGTGGTTGAGAACACTTCTCCCCTAGCTGCATAACCACCTAGAAAATGCTCTAAGCATGGTAAGTATATCAACACAAAACAATTATAGAACCATCTCAACATCCTCACCTGGCTCAGAGAAGGCCACAGACAATGACATACACAAATCAATTCATGTCATACACAATTCCCTAAACCTTACTTTACCAGGACATTCATTCAGGTTTTTCCCGTATGAAGAGTTAAATATGAATAGTTCACTTCATATAAATTAGATACATTTTCCTCTGCCATATATTCAGGAATTATTTTAAATTTTTTTACAGCATTCCATGAATATTTTCCTCTATATGGAAAATATTGAAAAAAATCAGAAATCCATGCAGACTTCCTTGGCCAGGGATTTAATCTTAGGAACGGATGCACAAAATCATGTCAAACCCAAATAATGCAATTGACAACAGTAACTTTAAGCATTGTCCAAGCCTTAATGTTCAGTACTATGTTACCATCACATTGTAATAAATTGATTATATCATGTTGCTTTTGAAAATATGTGGAGATGTACATAAAGAATCAGAGACAGCATCTCCAAAAACCTTGCCAATGGAACATAACTAAATATGTCTGTCTTTGCAAACTTATTTAAACTAAAGTTTTTTTCTTTGTTCAAGTAGCTACAATTTCTGGAAGAACCTGAGGGAGTGACAATCATAAAAGTGAAAGTGAGTTTTCAACAAACTCAGTTTCGCTCTAAACTCAATTTCATAAGTCCCGTCTTCTGTTACAAGTCATTTGTGCCTAATTAGTCAAGTGTGTCAGGTTTCATTGACATCCGATGCCGTTTGACCATTTTAGTGAGTCAACCGGTTCGGAAAAAGAGTTACTAAAGAACAAATAAACGAAAATTAGGCTCTAGATTTAAAACTAGAAATCACTTTCGAGTTCCGTCCTCTCCTACAAGTCATTTGTGCCTAGTTCATCGTATGTGTCAAGTTTCGTTGACATCCAACATGAGCATTTTAGAGAGTCAACCGGTTCGAAAAAAGAGTTTCTAAAGAACAAGTTTTTCATAAACGGAAATTAGGCTCTAGATTTAAAATCGAGAATCGGTTTTGAGTTCCATCTTCTCTTACTAGTCACTTGTGCCTAGTTAGTCAAGTGTGTCAAGTTTCATTGACATCCAACATCGTTTAAGCATTTTAGTGAGTCAACCGGTTCAGAAAAAAAGTTTGTAAAGAACAAGTTTTCATAAACGGAAATTAGGCTCTAGATTCAAAACCGGGAATTGATTTCGAGTCCCGTCTTCTCCTACAAGTCATTTGTGCCTAATTAGTCAAGTGTGTCAAGTTTCATTGACATCCGATGCCATTTGAGTATTTTAGTGAGTCAGCCAGTTCGAAAAAAGAGTTTGTAGAGAATAAGTTTTCATAAACGAAAATTAGGCTCTAGATTCAAAACTGAGAATTGGTTTCGAGTCCCGTCTTCTCCTACAAGTCATTTGTGCCTAGTACATCGTGTGTGTCAAGTTTCATTGACATCCGACACCATTTGACCATTTTGGTGAGTCAACTGGTTCGAAAAAAGAGTTTCTAAAGAACAAGTTTTCATAAACAGAATTACGCTCTAGATTCAAAACCAGGAATTGGTTTCAAGCCCCGCCTTCTCCTACAAGTCATTTGTGCCTAGTTTGTCGTGCGTGTCAAGTTTCGTTAACATTCGATGCCGTTTGACCATTTTTATGAGTTAACCGGTTTGGAAAAAATGTTTCTAAAGAACAATTTTCATAAACGGAAATTAGGCTCTAGATTTAAAACCGGGAATCGGTTTCGAGTTTTGTCTTCTCTTACAAGTTATTTGTGCCTAGTTCGTCGTATGTGTGAAGTTTCGTTGACATCCAATACTATTTGACCATTTTAGTGAGTCAACCAGTTTAAAGAAAAAGTTTCTAAACGACAAGTTTTCAAAGTGTTTGAAAGTTTTACTGCAACATTTGGTGGTGGTGTATGTGGGTTCTCATCGGCCTCATTATCCATAGGTTCACTGTGGCCACTCAATGCATCTGGTACATATGATATTCATGGTATTCTTTGTTAATCGTATTTATATTCAATGATAGAATTGTGCTGAAATTAGATATTTATAAAACCTAATTTATACCAAACCTGTTTGTTGTGATTTGTACTCCCTTTCTTGGGACACAATAGCCAACATTTCAGCTTTCATTTGTCGTATCTGTGTTGAAAGCTCTGCTCTCATCTCCTCCCTCAATTCCTCTCTAATCTCATCCTTCAACTCTTGTCTTAACTCCATACGAACCTACTTGGTGATCTCAGCAACAGTCGATGACTAAGATCCTGACTATGATGACTTAGATACATCTTCATCAAGTGATAAAGCTAAGCTGCAAATGCCGTAAGTTTCCAAAACATAAGTATATTATAGCCTTTAAAATTAAAAGTTCCCAAAAGTTTTTTTTTTTGAGGGGGGGGGGGATGGGAAACATGTCCTAGTGAGAAGTGTTTAATTTAGGAGTCCCACAACTTTCTAACTATGTGAACATGGACAAAAGTTATGGGAAAGTTGATTTTTCCTATACTTTGCTTTCTTTTCCTAACAACTGAATGGAGCCTTTATGATTAGATGATTCATCAAAAAACATTCCACGGTTAGTGCATCACTTGACATTGAATTCAGTAGTGCTATACAAACTAACAGACTCAAAAGGCACTTTTGAAATAAAAAAAAAAAAACAATTCTTAATACTTCCAAAACTTCGACTTCAAGCTGTTCACAAAATTTATTTGCAAAATCTGTCAGTCAGAACAACAATTCTCCTATAAGATTGTATAATTGTATCCTTTCCCTATCTATTTGTTGTTTTCTGAAACAATAACATTCATCTGGGTGGAAGTGTGGTTTCAGCATGAGAAATGACACTCTATCACCAATGGTGATAGAGAAATAACATCATAGATCAAACACACCATAAGGGTGCAGAACCAATAGGCCAAAAATGGGTTTGTGTCGCAGGTGTTGAACGATCTACTCCACACAGTTATGAGTTTATAGGGCTAGAGAAATTTTTTTTCCATACAATGAAGGCCAGAACCATATTAAAAATTTTTTAAAAAAAATATTTACTTTCTATTCAACGAAAAACTCAAGGTGCAATAGTAAATAATACTCACTTGTCCTTGTACAAACTGAAAACCCCATTGGTATGAATTAAGTCATAAGACCTTGGATATGTGGAGAGAGCTTCACCCCTGAACCCAAAAGATTATAATTTGTGAATACGTAATTTTTATCTCTGTGTTGAATACAAAGAAAGGAAATGAAAAGAGTAATAAAAGTTGGACTTACGCCAAACAAATAAATTTTGTCCAACTAACAGTGAGCATCTCACGTCAATAGAAGGTAAATAAATCAAGACCTTGCCAACCCAAGTCATTAATAAATAGTTTGTTATCCCCATAACAGATCTTCCAGAAGACTGCAAAGGTCAAAACTGAAGTGTGACTAAGAAACCTCACTTCTTGCATAGATACAATGGTTGACATAAGCTATTAGGTAATTTACACATCATACAAAATCACTTTTTTGGGTTGGGTTGGTTTAAAAAGCATGTAAAATAGAGTCATATCAGTTAGCCGGGCAAGATAGATATTGATGAATTAGGAGAAGTGGTGATATGGGTTTATACCATTTCTTATCTTTCTTTAAGTGAAACAAAATTGAAACCAACATCAATATTATATGAGCAACACAAATGGATCATAAGATAAGAAGTCGTGTTATAGCATAGCAAATTAGATTAAACTAAAGGACTTAAAATTGTGTAATAAGAAGATTGTTAATTTTCTCCATTTTTCACATTCCTTGGGTTTAGCCAACCTTTGTCTACCTGTTATATCAGTGTCAAGCAAATTGGTATCATTCAATGAGGGTGCAAAAGACATGGTTGGTGGCACCTATGTGCTTGATGTAGAGTTTATGAAGAAGTGGAATCAGCATACTTTAGAGTATATAAATATGACAATACATAGATTGAAGATATTTCTGCTTCATAACTTTTATTTTTGAAATAAAAGAAAATTTTGTGAATCTTCATTTCCTAACCACAAGTCAAAAGCCATTTCTTCTTTTAACATTTCTCAAATACGAAATATATTCCACTATTCTAAAAGTACTGCTAAATTGCCAACCACATGAAAAGAATACACGTCACCTCAAAGAGAATTAAGAGAGAGAAAGAGAGTTTATAACAAAAATTCTCTACCACGAATGCAATAGCTGCCTTAAAATAATACTCCGAAGAAATCCACTACTTTGTGACATCATAATCCAAAACATAGATTCTTAAAATGAAACCAAATCTGAAGTGTTTTTGTTTATTAATGTTAAAGAGAATCTCATAAATTTTTAATAAAAATACTAACCACAGTCCAATATTGATATACGTATAAAAAAATATTAAAATATATACAAACCAACCAACAAGAGCCAAAAAAAACCAAGCACAAGCCCAAAAGTAGCACTTCAACATCGAACAACCAACAAAAGAAAAAATAAGAAAAAAAACACCAAACAACACTCCAGCTGAAAATGATACCCAACAGCAGCACACAACAAGTCCAACTACGAACTTGAAGCATTACTCCAAGAGACTGAATAATTTCTTCCAAAATTTGCCAGTCTTAGGTGTAAAATGTTATCCAACCAAGCATCAATTGATATCTATCATTGATCCACTCAATTGTATGAATCAGTAGGGCCAAGAAAGATGAAAAAAAATATTGTTCATAATAAGCCATACCCAACCAAGTTCTACTCATCCTTACAAATCTACGGCCTACATTATCAATACTCTCAATTATTACATTGACCTCTAAGACATTTGGCATCCATGTTAACTACATTCCCTTAATTTTTAGTTTCAGAGGAAACTCCCCTATACCAACATCACTAACAACCTCTTTGCTGCTCTTGCCCAAAATTCTTGCAACAATTCATTACCAACAAAGTTGTGGGACTATTTTCCATGTCTAAAACAGTCGGAGCACCTAACGTGTCATTTCCCTTAATGGATTAAATAAATAATAAATTTCACATGTATGCAAATTATTATTAGTTATTAAAACTAAATGCTTTGCATCTTAGGTTAAAAAATAAATAAAGCAAATGAAATAGTCTAAATTTTCAAAGAAGTTCTGCTTGTACATTGTGACATTTGATCAAACACGTAGCAGACATAAAGAGAAGTTAAAGAAATCTAAGAAAATAAAACCCAAATAGAGAGAGAATAAAGATATACAGAGGGGCAATCAAAAAACAAAGCAATCATAAAAAGGAAATGAAACAAAATATTCAAAACCAACCTATGTGAGAGAGAGAGAGAGAGAGTATATTCATAGCCAAAACCAAATCGATAGAGAGAGAGAGAAGTGATCGAAAATACCTCATGATGTTTCTCAATGTATGTCCCCAATTGTAGAATACTCGAAGCGACGACGGCAGCACTAACGCTTGCTCAAAGATACGACGTCAGTGGTAGCGCTGAAGGAGAAGAATGTGTGAAGTCGGCGGCGACGCCAAAGAGAGAGGAGCTAGGGTAGAGAGCCACAAGGGCAGAGAGTGAGCGTGTGTTTTAAGAGAGAGAATGGGGAGAAAGAACTGTGTGAAGAGTAAGAGATTTGGGCAAAAAATTGGGCGCCATTATGAAATTCGGGGATGGGTCGAGACGCGAAAGTAAAAATAGGGATTAAGTTTTTGCGACGAGTTTAAGGACCGTCGTGAATGAGTAAACATAAAGTCTTTTGTGACGGACTAACAAAAGGTGTCACAAAAAAAATAAAAAGATGAAATTTTTTTTTGCAACGAGAAACATACCGTCACTTATAATATTACTTTTTACCAGAGTCTTGGATTTTCTGTCTCTAATAATAGTATTTCTTTTGTGCCTTTTTTGTGACAATTAATTTCATGACGGTTTCTTTTACTATCGCAAAAGCTTGCTTTTTGCGACAATTTTCAAACCGTCGCAAAAAACTCTGTGTCTAAATCCTCCTTTTCCAGAAGTGTCGTACCTACACCCATACAAAATATTTATATATATATATAACTAATACAATGCTAATCTTTGGGTAGCACTTGTGATGCTGTTTTTGTTAAATTTTGTTGTTAAATTGTAATCATAAGATTAGCCTAAGACATTTAATTACACGAAGGGAAGTGGTTAAATTTGATTGAGCCCTGACCTAAATAAAATTTACCTTATTAGCTTTGTTAAAAAACATCACTATTTCCACGCTGAATCTTGGCTAAACCAAGCATAAATCAACTCAGGCTAGTTGGTAATCTAGCAACCAAACACCAAGGCTCTATAATTGAAGATTCATAAGATTTTTAATTTATACAATATTTATAATAATAAAAAATTACATGTCATGAAATCATTGGATTTTTCACTATTTATTAGGCTTGCTGCTTTTCCTTGACTGTATGGGTCTACTAGTTATTTTTTAACATTAATGCATTTCCTATCATTTTGGCCAAAAAAACAAAAAATAACAAACAAACAAAACAACCAAACAAACAAATCTTTGGATTTTTCACCTCAAGTCATGGATGGGTCTAGGGGGTACGGTGGCATACCCAAGATTAGAAAAGTTCTATATTTTATATTACTAATAATAAGATAATTTAAAAAAATGAGAAGTTACATGTATATTTACCTTCTTAAAATTTGAATTTTGGATCCGTCATTACCTCAACTATAATTAGTTGTTATTTGATCAATATGATAATAACGTTCTATTCCTTTAATAAAAGGTCAATTGCATTTCTGAAGTTCTTTTTTCTGTTAACTATTTTCATGACTTAAAAACAATATATGTCTCTTTCACATAATCTTTATATACAAAACAAAATTTTAAAAATGTATATTAGAGTTCAAACTATTAGAAAATTTATAAAAAGGTAGTTTGAATTGAAATAGACTCTATTTTGAATGAAAGGGTGTAACTTTTCATGGTGTCTTTTTATTTTAAAGGAATGGTCAAACCTCCATTTGAATGAAAGGGTGCAAACCTTTCAAGGTGTCTCTTTATTTTAAAGGAAGGGGTATGTCCCTTCTTCATACCTTTTCCATTCAAATTGAATAGGTGCCAACAAAGCCTATATAAAGGCAGTCCTATTCTAATTTTGATTGATTTCGAAAATTCATTTTCCTTGCCTTCATTTTGCTCTCTTGCGTCCTTTATTCTTCATATTATTTTAGGAAAAATTTCAGAGAGTTATAGAATACAAGGTTCTGGTTCGTCAAACAAATTTGTTTGAAGTGCTACTACAAATTATTGAAGATCATTGTATCTTGGGAGATAGACGCCACATAACCATAAGCACCGTAGCGGGGCGAATCTGTCATAAGGACAGAGTGTCACACACTCGACTTGGTCTTTAAATTATTGATTCGGTTCAACAAAATAAATTCTGTAAGTTTTATTTATTTTGTTTGAATTATTTTAAGTTATTTTATTTACACAGAAAATTGTTCCAACAATCTTAAGACAGACTCGAATTACTCTGTTTACAGAATTTTTCGTTTGTTTCCCTTTTTTCATTCTTCGTAAATAATTTCGGAAGAAAATTATTTTCTGTGGATTTACAAAATAATATTCTGGTTGGAAAAATAAATAGTGGTTATATGCTATTTGACAGATAGTAGTAATATACTGTCTATTTTCTTTGACAATAACTAGTAGTACGATACTGGTGTCATTAACAATTCAGAATATATTTTTGTGGGATTTTTCAGAAATTAATTTTGGGTTTTAGAAATTATTTTCTGAGTTTTCATTACTTAAAATTCTGTTTTAGTATTTTAATTATTGAAGTGCTATAGAAATTAATTTTCTGTGTGGAATTAATGGAGGGGAAAGACCTTTATTTATATTTGGAGGGGAGAACCTTAGCCATGAAGGCTAAGATCAATAGGGCTATCAAATGCCATTAACCAAGGCCATTAACTCTAGCCATTAGGACTAAAGTTACAAAGGTTGAAAACCTATGGCCACTAATATGGTCATCAACTCCATCATCAAAAGATGAGAGTTACAAAAGTCTAAAAATTCCATGTGCTTAATATATACAAATAAACAGGTATATAATGATGTTTGAATAATTCAAACCAATGGGTCACAAAATGAATATGAGTGTTGGGTCACAACCCGATCTAAGCCCAATCTCAAATACATACACAAGCTATTTGATACTTGAATTTTAAATTTAAATCAATACTATGTTAATATCAACTAATCATGAGTAGAGAAAATATATATATATATATATACATAATAATTAATAAATAAATAGAATTCCTTATTATATCAAAAAAGTGCATGGTTTAGAAAGTTGTAGATTGTAAGACGCCGCACTATTAGAATATTAAATATTTTGGTAAGCGGTAAATGATGTTTTATAGTTGGGTGGTGAGGTTTGTAGACGTGAACCTAACTTATAATCATATGTAATTTTAGGGATCATTGTGAATTACCGAAGAAGGTAATAACCTTTAGTAAGGATCATTGTTTTACCGAAGAAGGTAATAATAATCTTTAGAATGGTAAGAAAGCCAAGTAAAACTTTTGGTGAGCCAAGGATTAAGTGGCTCTTGGACAATTCTTGAGGTAAAAACTAAGGGTCAAGGACAGGTGGTAGCTCCTACAGGTATGAATCAATTGTTTGCAGCTCCTACGTGTATGAATAACTGCTTGGGCTTCACACTTCGTCATGTATAAATAGTAAAGGTTGGTGTTGTAGTAGGGACAAAAATAAAGCAAGGATCCAGTTTGTAGGAGAGCCTCAAAAAACGAGAAGTGAATCAAGGTTAATTTAAGAGTAATTTTAAGGTGAGTTATATTATATCTTGAGCCACCATACCTTGTTTTATATATGTCTTGAGTCACCATAATATATTTTATGAATGTTTTGAGTTACCACAATTTATTTTATATAATTTATGTTTT